GATGTGCACTGGGTGTCGTATGGAAGTGATGAATCACTGAATTCTACTCCAGAAACCAACATTGCACTGTATGTTAACGGACGAAATTTAACTTAAAAAATGTATAGAGTAAAAATATTTTTATAGGGGCGCCTGGGTGGCTCAGATGGTTAAGCGTCTGCCTTCAGCTCAGGTCACGATCCCAGAGTCCTGGGATCGAGTCCCACATCGGGCTCCCTGCTCCTTGGGAGCCTGCTTCTCCCTCTGCCTCTCTCTCTTTCTCTGTCTCTCATGAATAAACAAATAAAATTTAAAAAATAATATTTTTATAAACTACTGAAGTATCACATACATACAGAAAAGTGCATACAGAATAATTCCCACAAACCGGATATAGGTTAGTGACTGGCCTCCAGGTGGAAGAACAACGTGACCTGTCACAGGGCAGCCTCGGGGAAATGGGCCATACCACATGCCATCAAAATTACAAGTGCAAACATAACAGTTGAGGCCCAGTTGAGTTCACTGGGGCATCCCACCAAACGTGTAAGGAGTGCCCCACAAAAACGAAGTCAGACTTCCCCTTGAGAAAGCCCCCTCCCCTCCTGGTCTCCCCAGGCCCCCCACCTCCTCCTGTAGCCACTCCGTCCACACGGGTTTCGCTCCCATAGTCTCTCTCCAAATCCCGCTCTGCTTGCCCAGTTCGTTGTGCAAGGCCGAGCCGTCGCGTTAGCTGAAAGAGCCACCACCGAGTGTCCCTCAGCACATCCTGGGGTGCACGGTGAGCAGGAGGGGGACACCACTGTCACAGAGTCGCCCCACCACGCACCCCTGGTCCCCATGGGACCGGCCAAAACGGGAGAGGCCAGGAAATAAGCCGTGTGACTTTGGACGCATGTCTACTGGGCCTCGGCTGTTATTTTATTTGTGAAGTGGGTCGAATGACGGTAGCTACTTCCTAGGGCCGTTCTGGGGGTGGAACGTAAAGGGCTTCCATGTATCAAGGGGGCTTGTGTTCTGGGGTTTAGGGGATAGCGTCTTTCCAGTTTCCACCCTACGCAGGAAGGGATGCTTCCCACGGAGTGCCATCAGCGGGAGCACCGAAGATCACCCATGTCACTGGAGCCAGACCCAGAAGGGGCCACCTGCTGGGTCCCTGTGCAGAGCTGCCTGCAGAGCTCAGCTGGCCCCACACGGGGGCATCAAGGCGTCAAGTGGCCTTGTGCAGGGTTTGTGAGGGAAAGCGTATTCTCGTGGAGACCTCAATCCAATTGTAAGACCTCCAATTAGAATACACTTTGAACAACTACATATGAACACAGAGTGAGAATAAGCTACAAATGCAGTTTCAGGTTTTTGGTCTAGGATGCACCACCGCTAAGTGGACCTCAGGTGGAAATAAAAATGTAGTGGGGGGGGGGGCGGGTGTGCATCATGGAGACTGGAAGACCATTACAACTGTAGATAAAGAAAAATTTGGACAAATCAGAACAGAGTCAATAGCTAAAGCTTCTCTTCTCAGAAACTGACCTTTAGAGATACTTATATTAATTGGATATTAAATCGTACACCAGTATTCCCCAAAGTTCATCCATTACTGCATAGCTGACATGATTTTTCCCCATAATTATCACTTGTACTATTTTTAATTAGCATTTTTCCTTCAATGAGTTCTTTAAAAAAATGGCTTTAGCCTCACTCTATAATTTACAACTCTAATTCACATCAAAGCCACTACATAACCATCAAAAGAAAAAGTGTCCACTCTGTGCCACTGAAAAGCCATCACCCTTTGCAATCGATTTTCTCCTGTCATGGACTTTGCAGATAGTGGCTCACTCCCCAGCCAATCTCAGCAAGCCGTGTTCATAAGGTCCTGAGCTAAAGAATGTCTCCAGAGACGTTTTGCAGAGAAACCCAAAGCTTGGTTCTCCTCAACCAAACCCACGGCTCTCACACAGTTCCCCGTCTCAGCCAAGGTCGATGGCGCTCTACCGGGTCTTCAGCCCAGAAGGCAGTGAAATCACTCTTGCCTCCCATCTTTCTCCCACCCTTGTAAGCCCGACAGGAAATCCTGTTGGCTCTGCCTTCAAACACACCCCTGTTCGGACTGCTTCGCATCATCTCCATCTCCAGCCCTCATCCACACCTTTTGGTTGGGTATCGTGAAAGCCTCTACCTTGTCTCTCTGCTTCTCAACCCACTTTTCTGCAGCGTGTGTTCCCGATGGAACCAGGGTGACAGATACACTGGAAAGCTCTCCAGAGGCCAGATCGTGCCACCGCTCTCCCCGTAGATGTCTGATGATGTCCCATCCACAACACAGCAACGTCAAAAGTCCTTCAGTCCTTCCTGACCGCCATCCCCTGCACGTCCACCCCACGCGTCTTGGCCCCACATCAGCTGCTCCTGTCTTGGTCTCTCTGCTCAGGCCACCCTGGCCATCTGCTCCTTCTTCCACCCAGCAAGCACATTCTTGTCTGGGGATCTTTACACGTGCCCCTCCTTTTTCCATGAATGCTTTTCCTCGGGCATAAACACGGCTTGTCCTTTCTCCCACTTCCTTCAGGTGCCTATCAGAGAGGGCTTCTCTGATTACACCATGTTCAGCAACCTTCGCTCACCTCTTATTTTGCTTTCTTCTTCTTAGCATGTATCACCTAACAGATCACCTTTAATTTTATTTTCTGTCTGTCTCCTCCCATTTAGAATGGAAGCATCGTGGGAAGATGCTTAAGACTTTGTTTTGGCCTAAAAGAGTAGGCTTGGCAAATAGTAGGCATTTAAGAAATACATGAATAAATACTGGACTGCAGAAATACCATCTGACCATTACAGTCAAGGGTCTGGTGCCCAGAAAGAGCAGAACCAGGTAGGGAGCACCACCTGCCCCAGATCCTAGTTCTCTACCTTACAGTCATAGTTATGCTTCCTGTTACATGGGTAGCGTTCTTCCTGATTCACATATTCATTCATTATTATGTAATGATATTACATGGAGCTACTTTCTCTGCTACATGGGCTGCTGCCCATTACATGAGTCACTGAATCAAGCCAGTAAGATCTTTAAAATGTACTCAGTTGAATTTTGTTTTTTGAGCAGTTCCAAGAGCGAGTGCTCCAGGAAACAAAGAAGTGACACATGGCCTTTGTGACCCAGACTCAGAAGTCACATGGCAGAGTTTCCATGTTCTCTGGTTGTCATTATGGGCAGTCACAAGCCCACCCAGCTTTCGGGGGGAGATGACACAGATCCCCACTTTTCCACCAATGGAAGGTCAAAGAATTTGCAGCTGTGTTTTTGAGCTGCCTCAGGGAGGTATGACTCAGTTAAGAGGGGGGGGGAATAATTGGGAAAGTATTTTGAGGATAAAAGTTTGAGCAGGGGTAGGACAGGGCAGGTACGTTTAGGAACCATCAAGAGACCCATGTGCCTGAATGGGAGACTGGCAAGGAGAAATGTCAAAGCCAAACGCAAAGGCTTGGCTAGGTGAGTGCGAATACCTGGTTTAGGAGTCTAGTCTTTAGTCTGTAGACAGGTGGTGTTTAAAACGGTTTGCTTACATATCCCTAAGGGAATTTTGAAAAACACATTTTTAGGCTTGTATCCATTTTTTTCCCCATAATTTACAAGTAATTGCAAAGGTCAGCAGCTCTATGTGGTCATTCAGGCTGACGGAGGTTTTCCACCTTCTTCTTTCTGTGACAACCAAGGTCACTGCGGATACCTCCCTCCAAATCTGTGCTGCAGTCTGGAGGAGCTCATGTGGGAAGGTGTTATGGGCCAAGGATGCATTGGTGCAGGTCACTTCCACTCACTCTCTGTTGGCCAGACCTCAGTTAATGGCCACTCCTGATGGCAGGGGACACCAGGATGGAGCGAGGAACACAGAGTTTGTGGAAGAGCTAGCGGTCCTCACTACAGAGCATCTATTTGTACAGCATTCAGCACATTTGCTGGCATTCGGGAAGCATTCAACACAGAGCCTGCTGCCATTATTAACACTATTATTATTATTTATTATTATTACACGTTCAGTCTGCAGGTTGTGTTCTGTGCCCCAGTGGATGTGCACTCCCTACGCTGGAGCTCAGAGGCCCCCAAGGTAGATGCACTTTAGGCAAGGGAGGCCCCGGAGCCCTGGAGCCCAATTCGTAGCTCATAAACCTCAGCCGGCAACTCGGCCGCCCGGGTCAGTGGGCTGCAGACGGAACCTGTGCTAAGTCCTGGCCCAGCTCCCCATGCGGCTGTTTGTCCATCTCCTGACTGCCTTCAACAATCCACCGCCCCCACCCCACCCTTCTCCCTGCCTTGCACCCAACTTCTACCTCCAGGAGTCCCAGGGTGGACTCCGAGACGCCTGGAGAAAGCCAGGGACTGGCCCTGGGCCGAGAGGCAAGTTTCCGTCCCCGTAGCTGCTGGAGAAGCTGCCCCAGCTTTAAGAAGTCGAGGCTTTTGGGCTTGCTGTGTGGGGACATGGGTGGAATGTCGCCGACTTCCAAGAACGGATCGAACATTCAGTCTTTGCTTTCTTTTCCCTGCCGCTGATACCTGGGCCCCAAGAGTTGGAAGAAAAAACTTTTCCCCTAGGGATTCTAGAAGCCACGGAGACTAACACAAGGGCCTCACTGCAGGAAACGGACGTTTGGTTTTGTCCTGGGAAGGCCCCTGGGGACAATGGAAACACTGCTTTATTTGCTTCCCTAAACTCCCAACTTTAAACGCCTACTATCAATTTCTTTATGTAGTTACAACCTTTCTAGACAAGCGGGCCATCCCCTGGTCCAGAGCTTAACTCCTTCATTCAAAATGACCCGAATTCACATCTCCGGGCGGATCTGTCCTGCCAAGTCTCTGCTGGGTGCTGGGTGGTGGGTGCGGTGGAGACAAAATGTACTCTTTTCCAAATCAAACAGAAGAAGCAGGTGTGCCCGAGTGCGTGCGCGTGTGTATGTGCACAGTGCAAAGTGACAAGCTCCAGGTGTGATCTCCCAGGGCTGGTGCTGGGTTTTTCCACAAGCAGGCTCAGCTGGGGCATGTTCTGCCCGGGGTGTGAGTCAGCACACAAGTAGTTAAGTCGGCAGCCGGGCTCCCCGGGCTAGCGCAGTGGCCTCCGGGACTTAGCATGCAGCACCGCTCAGCAGAGCTGGGTCCTGGCGCTCCCCAGGAGGACTGACATGCTGCCTGGAACAAACAACAGCAGGTCTAGGTACGTAGCCGGGCTTTGATGGACGGTGTTTTGCTCTCTCCCCAGAGGACAGAGCAACGGTGCTTCGTGGTTGCCAACAGAATCCGGTGTTTATTGAGCCTCCTGTTTCTTGGGGGAAAATGAGTCATAGGGATGGGGGAGGGGAGGGGAGCAGCCTCTTCAGCCTCATTTATGTTTCCCTGGCCGTGGTGCTGCCAGGTTTCCTCAATTCCGTCTGCATTCCAGGGCTGGGAGTTCAGGTCATTTGAATGTCAGCATTAGAGGTGGGGAGGTCAAAAGGGCTCTTTTTGCTTTCTTTCTGTCAGTCTTCAGATCTACATTCAGGGATAGGGATTTGGTTTGAAGAGTTATTTGCTGAGTTGGTGAAGTCGAGTGGCAGAAACTCATTTTCCTGGCCATTTTGAACGGCAAGGTTCATATTAGCAGTCTTAAGAAGCAAACTTCTCTGAATTTACCCCATGCCTGAGTGAGAGCATGTTTTCAGAGGTGGTCTTTGCCTTGCTTACAGCCTGAAAACTGCCGCTTCAGGTGTCTGCAGTGTGACCTGATCACTTTGAGGATCCCAGTTCTTGTAATGAGTCTACTCGACTGGGTCGCCCTGGTCTTCCCATCCCTTTAGATGACTCTATTCTATCGCTCACAAAATAGCTGGAATTCTGAGTAGATGGGAACTACCCTCAAAAACTTGGTTTGGATGGAATTTCCAAGGATATAGGGACTTAGGCAACATTTGGATCTCATTCCATCTCCAATTTTTTTTTTAAGAGGTGGGGGTGGGGCAGAGGAAGAGGGAGAGAGAGAGAGAATCCTAAGCTGGGTGCGGAGCCTGACACGGGGCTGTATCCCATGACCCTCAGATCATGACCCGAGCCAAAATCAAGGATCGGAAGCTTAACCAACTGAGCCACCCAGCTGCCATCCTCCCCCATTTTTTTTTAACTAGATTACCAGTTTATTATAAAAGGATATAATTCAGGAACAGACAGATACAGGTATGGAGAAGGGGCGCAGAGCCTCGCTGCCCTCTCTAGGTTCACCACTCCCCCAAATCTCCACGTGTTTACCAACCTAGAAGCTCTGCAAACCCCATCCTTTTGGGTTTTTATGAAGGCTTCATTACAGAGGCATGATTGATTGAGTCCTCATTCCACGTCTGTTCTGTCACTGCGGCATCAGCCACCAATAACTGACATCGATGACTTTGATGATCAGGCTGATATGTTCACTGCATCAGGAGTCAACAGATGTGAGTTCAAATCTCCTGTCTGCGACTCATTAGCTCATCGAACTTCCTTGAGCCTCATTTGCTTCGTTTGTAAAATTGGGATCGGTGTGTAAGTATCTGGAATGGCTCTGGTACTCCAGAGAGACATAGGATAGGCTCTGACGCCAGATTTAGTGGAGAGATACACACTCATTAAATAGTAAGTACCAGCCTGGGAGAGTGTATACAGCTTCGGAGGAAGAAATGGGGTCAGCCATCTACTGTATGTGGGGGATCGCTGTTCTGAGAGTTAGCATCTTTTCAGCCCTCTGCAGTTTTCACGGCAATATCACGCACTCTACTGGCTTCACAATCCTGTAAACTAGGAGGATGAGGAGAGGCATGCCATCATGCCCAGCCCCATCACCTTTACCAAAAGGAAATCTTCAGTGCTGTGAGGTGACCCACCTGGAAACCTTGCCTCATTGGTTAAAGCAGAGATGCCAGGAGCTGGCTCTGAATGCTCTTCCAAATAGGCACCTTTCCAAAGCCTTTCTGCAGTGAGAACTTTGGCAGTCTCTTCCTTTTCCTTGCAGAGAAAGAAGTCCCTACTTCTCTGCTGAGACCGCTACAAGGTCAAGCGTAGGTGAGAAAAATGGAGAGCTTACCAAATCTCTAGTGCAAATACACTGTTGGGAGAGAGAGGGAGGAAACCAAGCTAATCTGGACCACTTCTCAGGGCAGGCAACGGAAGTTCTACTAGCACCGAGGTGGAATGGGTGTTTTGGAAAAAATGGTAATAAAAACTTAGACTTGGTGAATTACCCGGTCTTAGGATCAAGACTGTTAAGCAGGAGATGGAGAACCACCTCATATCACTAGATTTGAATGTCAAGGATCACCTGACAGGGAAGGAACTTTGATACCCAGACTTCCTGAAGCAAGGGACCCTTTTGGCTGTGACTCTAAGTTGTCCCACCCCACCTATTTTCCCGTTCAGCATGCGGGAATTTGTCCCAAATTTCTCCAGAAGAGTGGAGTCCAATTACCCTTGTATCCATGGTCATGAAGCTTCTCCTCACACCTTACTGAGGACAGTTTTAGTGACATTAAAACACTTGAGGAGAAGGGGACAATGTGGTCAGCAGGTAGTCATCCACCACTAGATTATGGCAGCCATTGGAACCACTAGAGGGCAGCGCAGAGACTCGTACTGGTGACCACGGGGGGGGGGGGGGGGGGGGGCGGCGGGTGGTGGTGGTGAATTTTAATGTATGCTAATGAGCTTCTTAGGATTCTGCCAAGAAATGAGGTCCCTCAGGGCCCCAGAGAATCTCCGGGGACTGTTTTCCTTATTGTTGTTATTGCTATCCACATTCCCTGATTGCTCTTGAAGACGGGCTTGGTCTGGGAAGAGCAGCTAACAAAAAGATACACATCAAAGCGTATTTATGATTATTTATGATACAAAACAAAGCAGTGTGTACCAGCTGGATGTGGTTTCCACCGCCACCTAGAATATCCAGTCTCAATTCCTGCTCCCCATTGCCTCCCTGGCTCCAAGCATGACACTGTTCTCTTAGATTATACTTAAATGTCTCATCGGCGGCTGGACAGATATTTGGCTCAGTGACAATGGAGTGTTAAGGAAAGTTCAGGCAGTTGTGTAGAGACTGCCCAAACTTGCTTTTCAGTGACTTCTTTGGTGGCTTGAAATCAACCATGGTGAGAGTATTTACATCACAGAAATTGGCAAATGGTACAACACACCCGGGCTTTTTATTCCTGGAGAGCCGGTTGTTAAACATTTAGCAACACACCACTGCCAATGTTTGTCGCAGAAAAATCTTTGATAAAGAAATGATGTGCTGGTTTAAGGCATTAGGAGAAAAAAAAAACAAACAAAAAACAGGGAATGCTACTACCTTCCGAAATGCTCTGACCCCTGAACTATGTTAATTGAATCACATAATGCCATCTTTGTTACCCTACTTACAAGAGGAAGAATTTATAAGGAAATCTTTGCAGCTGAAGTGTAAGAGTTAAGTGTAATCCGTTTCCAGCTCATTTACCATTTGGGGTTAATACAAGTAGAAATAAGAAATTTTCCAAGCCCTAATGTAGAAGATCATTTGTTGAAGTTCATCTCCCTAACTTCATATCCATGGAGCCTGGGTATGACCGGCACTCCACACTGATGAACTCTATGGCCGGGCTGACTTCAGATCTCAGAGAGTGGGGAAGCTGCTGAGAACTTCCTTTACAGGGGCATTCATTCATTGATAGATCCTTAAAGTTTTTCCTCTGGTCATGCTAAACCAAAGGAAATTTTCCTTTTAGAAGATGAGAACTTCCCATACATGATACTACCATAAAAGAGGAATTATTCGTTAGCACTTAATAGGTGTCTATACTAAAAAAAGAAATAGGGCGCCTGGGTGGCTCAGTTGGTTAAGCGACTGCCTTCAGCTCAGGTCATGATCCCAGGGTCCTGGGATCGAGTCCCGCATCAGGCTCCCTGCTCTGCGGGGAGCCTGCTTCTCCCTCTCCCACTCCCCCTGCTTGTGTTCCCTCTCTCGCTGTGTCTCTCTCTGTCAAATAAATAAATAAAATCTTTAAAAAAAAAATTAAAAAAAAATAAAAAAAGAAATAAAGGGCATTGTGAAGCAATCAGATTTAGTCATTAAGTACACCTGATTCTCAGTGAATCCTCACAACCATGGGAAGAGATGGCTACAAGTATAATCGCCAATTTAAGATGAGGAAATTGATGCATCAATGCATTTGGTGAGGGCATTGCTGGGATATGAACTCAAGAGATCTTAATCAAGAACCCATCCTCGTAAGCCACCCTTCTTTAGCATCTCCCTGCAAGATGGGTGACTAGAAATTGAGCTCCTCTCCTCTGAACATGAGCCCCTACTTTTGTCGCACAGATCTCATAATTTGAGCAAGTTTACTACGTTTTATGAAGCCAGGACTCCATTCAGACACAAAGTGGCGGTTGAAGGATGGAGCCAGGAAGTTCAAGGTTCAACAGGTGCAGCCATGGCCAGTACCCAGAAGTCATTCTTTCCAACCTTTCCTTAGGCGAAAGAAAAACAAAACTCTTACGAGCCGACTTTTCACCTCTCCTCCTCTTCTGGGTTCCACTAGGATCGTGAGCAATGTTGTAACATTCTTAGAAGAAACCAGAGTGTGTTTCTCTCCCACACACCCTCTTCCAGTGTTGCTGGAATCTTGGAAGTAAGGCAACATTCATGACGTTTCTGTTTTGTGTTGTAGTTGCAAGTGTTAGCCTCAGCCCTCACCCTGATGCTTTTGCGCCTGATGTTTATACCCACGTCTCAGACTGAATCCATTTTCTTCTCCACTGCACAGTTGGTTTACCCAACTTTCTTCTTCCGGTGTGGCACCACAAGTCTCTCCCAACCTTAGAACACTGGAGTGATGTTTGATTTCCCCTCTTCTTCTTCTTTTCCCACCTTGACCAATCCAAGTGGCAAATCCTGGGGGGATAACCCACACTTCTTTAATGTAGTTCTCCATTCTCTATTTCCACTGCCAACCCCAGAATACCACCTTGGCTCTGCTTTCCTCCCAAATGGGGTCTCCCCTTTTAAATGGCTGCCTGTCTCCAGCCCCACGGTGCCATCATGTTCCAATTTGCTTATCAGCTCCATCCTCTACAGCATTAGAGCACTAAGCAAGGACAGATCTGGAGTGTCCCAAGAAGAAGTCCTTTGGTCGGTTAGTGATGTCGGCTATGACCAGGGGATGAGAAAGGAGCATCCTC